ACAACTGCCTGAGGGGTTGTTTTTGTGGCTCCTCATTGCCCAGATCAGTGATTCTCAACATGAGGCAAAACACTATCCCCTAGGGCAGAGTTTTTAAAACTTACGCACAAAAATCAATGCATTTTTCTTCACAACATAGCACACATACCTTTATTAATATATACTGAAAGCAAAAGTTTCACAAATCCTTAGTAATTGTGATACTCTTTTCTCTTAATTTTTCTTAGGTAGGGGGACTGGTTGAGGCTTTCTAAATCGATCTCACTTCCCACTAAGTCTGTGGTTCTCAATGTTGTTTGCACAGAAAAAATCATCTGGGAGGCTTATAAAACTTTCAGTGCCCAGGCCCCACTCTGGGGCAGTCAGAATTCCTTGGAGTAGGAGCACACAAAGCTCCTTGGGTGAAGGCTTTCCTGAATCTTCTTGGCTTCTTACCACTTCCTCCTTTGAGCCTCACCACTGAAATCTGGTCCTACCTTTTTTATAGCAAGTAGTACCAGAGCTTTGCATTTATTGACATATTTATCTTAGACTATAAGTTCCTTGACGGCATTAGACTATTTCCCTCATCATCGAGTCCCGAGCATCCAGCACACAGTAACTCCAACCCTTAAGATTTGTTTTGAGCATAAATGCACGAGCAAGGCAGAGAATAAACCATCTCCTTCTTTGCCTTCCTGATTATTCTTCATTTTTCTTCCTGGTTGTCTTCTTATTTCTTAATGCTCTTGTTTTGTTTTTCATGCACTGGTCCTTCTTCCTTAGCCTACTTCTAAATTAGCAAAATTGCCCTCAGCCCTCCTCCCACTCTATCCTCTCCCTGGTGACCTCATCTATGCATGTGGCCTCCACTCCGACCGCTGACAGCTTCCAAATCCACGCCTCCAACCCCAGCTCCCTTCTTAGATTTAGACTGATTTTCCAACTGTTTGGGGTAAAGCCTTATGGCTGAGATCTCGGCTCCAGTGCTAGAAGCTGCAAGAACGGGTTTAGGTTCCAGCCCACACACTGTCTCTTCCAAATTTAAAATCTGTGTTGTCCTCAGGTTTTGGGGATGATGGATGAATTGATGAATTTGGGATGATGGATGGTACGCAATATGTAGGGTTGTTCTGAGGATTCAATGAAACAGTATATTTAAAGCTCTTAGCATAGTGCCTAGAGCATGGCATAGAGTCGGTGCCCAATTAGTGTTAGGCACTGTGACTGGACATCTTCACCTGAAGGTCCTGCAGACTCCCCGAACTGTCCCCAATACAGCATCATCCCTGTGTGTACCTCTTACCTGTTTCCAGACCTCCCAACTTCTTCCTCAGGTAGTGCTGGCATCAGTGGGACCTTGGCAGACACAGGTGTGGTATGGGGCTGGGAAGGACCTTCAGGGGACCTTTGGTGTCTGCGCAGCCCTTGGCCTCTCTTAGCCAGGTGATTAAAACTCCCTACCTTCCTGCCTGGCAGTCTCTCTAATCCAACCCCTGTCAGGTCTGCTTCTGCCAGTTTGACCTTTGTAAAACGCAAAGCAGCTCTGACCATGTCATGCCCCTTCACTGGCCCTGTTAAATCCACATGGCCCAGAGGCCACGTGACGAATAAAGTCCTTTGTTATTTGGTCCCTGGACCTTGTGTTCCACTTTCCCCTGTTATATACCTTGCTGTCTCTTGTCTTGTTACCTGCTGTTCTTCCTTTTGAAATGCCCTAACTCCTTACCCCTCACCTGACACCACTGTGAGTTTTGGCCCTTTGACAGCTCACTACCCACCTGGTACCCTTAATAAACTCTCAGGTAACTATTTAACCCCTGTATGTTTCCTGTTCTCCATCCCTCTTCCCCAGCTGGTGAGCTCCTTGACACCAGGCAACGTTTATTATTATTATTATTATTTTTTTAAAATGTGACTTTGTGTTCTCCACCAGCCAAAGACCTTGTATATAATAGGAACGCAGTGATTAATGAATGAAGAAACTTTGAAAGTCTGTTCTTTGGAATTAGGAAACAGTATAATCAGTTCATATCTTTGTTTCTCTTGTGTGAGTATGTGTTTGGTAATGTGACCCTACTGAAACTTGAGTATCTTGTGCCATGCTTTGTGTTAGAAGTTGCAGCATGTTGTGACATGTCTTGGGAACAGTATATCTCTTCTGTTATTTAAGTTGTGCATACAAACACTTTACAAACATTTCTTTGGGCACCTACTTTGTACCAGGCACTGGGCAAGGCGTAGGAGCATATAGTAATAATGCCACAAAAATACTTCTAATTATTATCTATCTCCTGTATTCCGCACCTAGGTTAGCTCGTGAGATCAACTTCCTCCTAAATAGAGCAAACAGAGCCTTGTATGAGAAATTTCTTTTCTAAGGGAATGCAGCTAATACGTGAAGAACCAGATTTGAACCAAGGTCTGTTGATTCCTAAACCCATTGCTCCTTTCACTACTGAGTGCTACCTCATAGGTACAAATTGTTGAACGCCTTCTGTCTCTGAGGTGCCAAATATGCATTATTCTGATTTAATTCTCCTAATACTCTGCAAGACATTATCTGTCCTCATTTCTGGAGGGGAAATGGGCTCAGAGAGGGAACCTGTGCAGCATCACACAGGCCTTGTGACAAGTGGCAGAGCTGAGGCACTCCTTCAGTTGACCCCCACGCCCACTCTGTGTCCACTCAGCCCACGGCATGGCCTAGCCAGGGGGCAAAAGGCTGTAAGGGGAAGTGAAGGCTGCGGTGATGACTGCAGGAGTAAACAGCAAGAGCGAGGAGCTGCCGGTTCAGCAAGAAAGGAATGGGAATAGCTGCTCTCAGCTGTGCGCTCCAAATTCTGCTGTCACTCACTCATTTGTTCATTCATCCATCAAATGTTGTCGGGCCCCTCAATTAGCTATGGATACTAGAGGCAATTGATACAAACATGAAAAAGGCAAAATCATTAAAACAAACAAACACACACACACATAGAGCTTGTCACCAGGTACTATTTACCAGGCATGGAAAGTAAACCAGCAGCTCCCCCTGGGTTAGGATGAGTCCATTCCATCCAATTTCTTGCCAGACCTGCACGGCCCCCCCAGGCTCTGTCCTGCCAGCCTCTCTGACTTTCTCTGCAGCAGCCCCATGTGCCTACTTTGGTTCTCAAGGTTGTCAAATTCCTTTCTGCCCTAGGGCCTTTGCCCCTGCTGTTCCCCCAGCCCGATGTGCCCCTTCTCAAGCCTCTCCACTCAGGCCTTAGCTCAGTGTCTCCCCCTCAGAGAGGCCTTCCCCGGCTGTCCTCCCCACTCACTGTTTGTCACATCTTCTCGTCCTCCCTCTACTCCCAGCGCTAATCACCGTCTAAAGGTCAGTACAGGTTAGCGGCGAAGAGCATGGAATCTGGAACTAGCAAACTTGGGTTCTGATCTCAGTCCTGACATTTTATTAGTTATCTTGGGCAAGTTATTTAACCTCTATGCATCTCAGTTTTCTCATTTGAAGATGGGGAGAATAAGAATGATACTCCTCTTTTATAGTGTACTGTTGTAGAGATTAACTGAGTATATATATGTAAGGCATGAATAGTGCCTGGCACTTGAGTTATGTAATAAATCCAGGATGAGTGAATCACCTCATATTCATCCATCCAGTACTTACTGTATTTGAATATGTGGAGATGCTAGAATGCAGGGCTAGAAATACGACAGTGAATGAACAGGGCAGGCACAGCCTCTGTCCACAGGGAGCTCACTACTTGTTGGAACCACTTCTCTTATTAACACAGGTACACATTTTTGTTGTAAACTTTTGCCTAGAAGTCACCTAAACTCTTCCTATTCATTCTAGTTTCTATCTGTCTTCTAACCCACTTCCTCTCTCGGGATTCATAGTGCTCACTGCTAGTGCCTTATTATGGCTTCAGATGACACATCAATCCATACATTTTCATACCCTATGATTTGTTGATTACTTACTGTTGCATCCCTTCCTTTAGTGTTAGACTCAATTAGAGGTTTAGCTAATGAGGAAACAGTAGAAATTCACCAAGGAGACGACAAAACCAGGACAATAACTAAAAGACCTACCTCTTGGCTTCTCCCTGTTCTGCTCTTATTGCTTAGAATGTTCCACAGGCACTTGAACCACCCCTTTCCCCAAGTCTGCCTAACTTCTTCTTGCCTAGACTTCACTTCCTCTCAGAAGGAAGTCCCTGACTTTCCAAAACAATAGGCCCTGGAGTGGACCTTGTGCTCACCACTACGGTAAGGCTTGGCATTCTGCTACAGGATGACTGTCTGCTCTCCTGTCCCCCCTACTTGTCTGCATGTGCCATGCGGCCTGGCCCATCTTTTTTGTCTTATCCTCCATTGTATCCTTAACTCAGCAACACCTTTTTACTGTTAACAAGTAGTATTCTTTATATAAATATTGAACTTAGAGGACAAGAAACAGTAAAGCCAGTAAAATAGGAAGCAATGATTTGTACTGTGTTATGAAGGGTCTATTCACTTTACAAAACGACTTTTTTTTGCAGGATTCCATTGAATAAGGAGTCAGGGCTATTATATTAAAATGACCCCCAAACCACAGTGGTTTAACGCCCACAAATAAACTTTCTCGATTATGTAACAGTTATTGTAAGTGTTTAATTAGCAGCCTCCCAAATCTTGCGGCTCCACCATCCTTTATGTCATTGGGGTCTTCTGCCGTTGGCTAGCAGACAGGGAAAGAGAGAAAAAGAAGAGAATCCCTCAAGAGGGTTTCTTCCGCGCCACCCCGAAAAGTGGCACACATCACCTCCCATCCCTCAGACCCACGCTCAGCTGCATGGCCCCACAGGCTGCTGGGGAAGTTGGAGAAAGCATCCTTGCTATGTGTCCAGGAGAAAAGGGACCTGCTTTGGTGAACGCACAGCCGTGTCTGCCCTGGGAGCCCACAGAGCCGGGCAGCCCTGCTGTAAAGCGAGGCCCTTGGCTCCCGGCGGTGGGAGTGAAGAATTGAACTGATGTTGACTGTTTTGGCTTTGCAGACAAACTCGTGTGATCAAAATCTAAGTGTTTGCCTCGAATTCATTGAACAAGTTGCCAAGGTGCAGGGACAACTCTTTGGAATCCTCACTGTAACAGCTCAAGAAGGTGAGAATAGCCAGTGCTTCCCCCCACCTTTCTATCTTTGTGCTCTCTGAGTTGGCATGGCAGGGTTTCCTTTGCTGACCTGATTTGTGGGTTATTTCAGGAGGACATTATGATGGTGTGCAAGTAATTAAATCACGTCTTTTGCCTTGGTTGGAAGCCTCCTTCACTGCTGCTTCCCTGGGAAAACCTGTTGACAGCAAGGTCCCCTCTCTGCAGGTAAGGATGCTAAAGGTTCCCCTTGACTTTCAGCTCCCTGGTCAGGCTCTGGGAACTCAAACATAGGTAAGATACGGTTTTGACCTAGAGAGAGGCTCAACTCTGCTTAGGAAATTGGGACACAGCCATAAAAGGTAAGTTTCTGTGTACAGTAGTATGGGGCATATTGGATTGAGTTTTCTATTAAGACGGACCTGGACTCAAAACTCTCAGCTGGGCCTATTTACTAGTGCTGTGACCAGGCAAATCAACGAGCCTCAGCTTCCTCAGCTGTAAAAAGGGCCTGGTGATGATCTCTTCCCTGGTGGTATGTTGCTTGGCCCACACTAGGCATTAAGTAGTAACCTTTAAAAGACAAAATAGTCACCCAGACAGTTAGGGTCCCATAGAGGCTCAGAAGAGAAAGAGATTATGAAATGGGGAAGTCTCAGTATTCTGTAAGAGTAAAATAAAATTAATTGGAAAATTCAAGATAAGAAGAAAGCTCAATTCTGGTCAGCTGACAAAGGGTATCATAATTTGTGGCTGATCTTGGTGGCTTCCATGGACAGTGGCGGTGTTTTAACAGTTGAAGATCAGACTGGAGACAACACATATACCTTGCTTAAGGCATTGGCATTATTGTGTCTGGGTAAGCAAAACATTAGTGACCTTGAGTTTAAATGATTATATGGGTCTCCATGAATTTCTTTCTAAAATTGAGGCACGTCGAGCAGGATGTTCTAAGCAACAGGGCCTTACGAAGTAATGGCTGAAGGATTCTTGTTAGGGATCACTGGATAGAATTCTCACCCCTCTCCTATGGTCCTGTCTAACCTTTTATATCTTAGTGCCTTCGTGTGCTAAATGGGGACAGTATTTTTGCTGGCCTACTAGGGTCATTGTGAGAATTGAATGTGATAAGTGTGAGAGACAACTTACATGTGGTAAATTTTCTATAGACATCAGTTGTCTTTAAGCAATTTTTTTCCCCTGGGGATTTTCATATGCTTCTTAGATTTTTACCCATTATGTATGTTATTCTGGGTATAGAGATACAGGAAGATATTTAAATGTCTTTTTAAAAATTAAGATGTAATTTCCCTGCAGTGACATCCATAGGTTGATGAATTTTGACAAATACATATGTATATCCATATAACCCACACTTCTGTGAATATGTAAAACATTTCCCTCTCACAAGAGCATTCCTGGGGCACTTCCCAGGCACGTCCCTGCACCCCCAGGCAACCACTGCTCTGATCTCTCTCACTCCAGATTGATTTTGTCTGCACTAGGACCTCGTGTAAATGGAACCATATATTATATGGTCTTTTGTGCTTGGCTTCCTTTGCTCAGGATCATATTCGTGCAATCTGTCTATGTTGCTTCATTTATTTAGACTATTTTTTGATGCCTGTATCTTTCCAGGACACGTTTGATAAGGAGAGACAGAAAGAGTTTGGGGTTCGGGATCGAGACATGCAGCAATTAGACTCGGAGCTGAGCTCAACTCGTAATCAACTCAACCAGGTTCAAGACGAGTAAGAGGAATGCAAGTTATCTTTTTCCAAAAAGAGTTGCTTGTTCTTCATTTTAATTTTTTAGTTTGAAAGGACAGTGATGTAAAATTATTTGTTAATAAGAAATATGGGGTGTGTGTGCATGCATGCGTGTGTGTGTGTGTGTGTGTGTGTGTGTGTGTGTGTGTGTTGGGAGTCAGTGTCTTTGGATTTGGGGCCAGGATTTCCCTGGTACATTATGATCCCTAAGGCCCAGATTCCCTTAGCTCCCTTCCAGGAGCTTCTTCCTTTCCATAGACCCGTGATTAACCCATGTTTATAAACAGAGGAAGATTGTTATATGGAAAATCTATTGTTTTAGGGAGAAAAATAAGAAAAGAGGCAGAGGGAAAGGGTTAAGGAGCATAAATAGAAAAATTAAGAGAGAAAGCAAGGTGAAGCACGCTGCATTTATTTGTCAGTTGTACTCATTTGCGGGGGTGAGACTGAGTGATCAGACTCTTTAAATGATGAACAATGTAAGAGTCTGGAATAACTATTAGATAGAAATGTGTTTTAAAAAGTTAAGCAGTGCCAGGCAGCAACAGATATCAGATTCATGCTATGTTCAAAACCAGGGTAGCAAGCTCAAGGACTCACTTTGAAGAAAATTGCTAACTTTGGGTTGCACTTGAGAAAATAGACACTTGTGTGTGAAATTGCATTTACCACGTATAACAAAACCCCATCAATCAATGAGGTGTTTCCTCTTCCCCCAGCATGGACCCTCTGTTGACACGTATGGGACAGCAAGGGATTCTTTTTTAACAGGTCAGGCCTGTGATGGAATAGGGTGTGGCCTTGCTGCTGTGTCCTCTGAGGAGATCTCTTCCTAAGGCAAACATCTGCACTGATTTAGTTTTGCCTGATTAGAAAATACAGATTTCTTTCTCAAAATGCACTCAACAAAAAAGAGTATAAAGATGAAAGTCACCTGTTATCTCATCGCTGTGAATATTCTGGTAGATTTTACTCCCGACCTTTTCCTGGACGCGTGCCTTGCGCTCCCCTCTACTCATCCCCGTTCGTTGTTCTGATCGGAACCTTCTCCCACGGGCAGTTTCATAGCTGCAACAGTCAGAGTTTACAAATGTAAAGTACCAAAAGCAGAATTCCTCTGCATTTCTACAACTTATTTCAACTAACCGTCAGTGGATTTGGAATGGGGTTGAGGAAGATTCTTAGATTTACCACTTCTTTTCTGGTGTATTGTAGTTCCTTTTGCGTAAATATTCAGTTAATTGCAAGTCCAGACTTCCATTAAGGGCACTGTGTGCCCTCTCCAGGGGTCTCATTGCCCTCTTCCTTCCTTTGACTGACGTCTAGGGGCAGAGGGGTGCTTGCCTGCCCTCCTGGTGCTGGGGGAGAGGGGCTTTGGTCCTGTGTTGCCTGCTGGGTTCTTGCACAAGACAGTTCCATCTGGGTGCAAATGTCTTGTGCTGATGAGTGCTGAGTTGTGTCTTGTGTGGTTAAGTCTCCTGTGGTGTTGACTGGCCACTGCTGTTGCTGACTAGGTGCCTGCATTTGCCTCTCATGGCTTTGAGATTTTGCTGGTTCTCTCTTTTATCAGCACCCATAGGAGCCAGGAATTCCTACCCCCCTCTCTTGCCACTAATAGTTCTGAAGTTAACTATAAGGGGCACCATGAATTGAGACACTATGACTGCATGCATTTTTTAAAGCTTTTATTTGGAAGGAATACGAAATACAGAAAATCTGCAAGAATAGTACTAAGAACACCCATATACTCTTTCATATACATTTCCCCTGTTTGCTTGATCATTTGCCTGTGTGTTCTCTTTAACTATATATACACCCCCACCCCGCACTGTCCGTTAGAAAGTTGCACAGAGGAAAGTGCTTGTTGCTTTTGTCTGAATTTCCTAGTTTTGTTTTGCTGTGTTACGAACCCACCTGTTGTTCATATCCTACTTTTATTTAAGGTATCGTGCCTTCCCTCTCCTCCCTCTCTTACTCTGTGTACCTGTCTCTGAAGCCAGGGTGCTACCTGCTGGGGAATGAGTAACCCAGCCAAGGAGGTTCCTGTGTGTACCCTTGTGGAGACCAGCTTGGTTGCGACTCAGTTCAAAGGTGCGCATTATTCCACTACAGTGCTGAACGGGCCAGGTCTGCCCAGGTCTGATGAACGCTAGACAAGTGAAGTCTGTTCAATTTCGTGCCTGGACTCTGGTTAGGAATCTGACTTTTCTTCATTTCCTATATCCACTCAGTTAGAATACCCCTTGGAATCTGCTTCCTAAACATCTCGCACACTTGTCCCTTTTTTCCTATTGTACTACCATTGCCCTGGTTCAGGCTTCTGATACCTCTTGGCTCAACTCATTGCTTTCCAACTGGTCTCCCTGTTTCCATTCTTGCTCTACTACAAGCCCTTTCTCATACAGAAAATATAGATATATTTTTACTGTATTATGTCATCGCCCTGCTTAAAAGCTGTGAGTTGCCTTCCTGGGGCTCTCAGAGCCCTGCACGACCTGCCCCTACCTCTCACGTCACCCTCATGCCAGACACTCCTCACCCAGTCTGCTGTCTGCTGCCCTTCACTGCGAGGCCTTTGCCTGTGCCCCTCAGAAAAGTGGAAGCCTTCCGCGGGCTCCTTGCTTGGTTGGCTCCTAACTGCCCTTCAGGCCTCAGCTTAAATGTGACTTTCTTAGAATCTGTTTGTGACCACTATACATCAAAAGGTCTTTCCTCTTCCTCTCCTTACTCTTTCACAATGATTGAAGGATAACACTTTCCACCATTTGGAACCTTTAAACAATTGCTTGCCTATTTGTGACCCGGAAGACTGGAAACTCCAAAGGGTTACTATGTTGTATTGATATTTTGACACTGTTGCATCTTCAGCATCCAGCCACATGCCTGGCACATAGTAAATTTTCAATATTTTCCTTAATGAACGAATAAGTCCATAACAAAAAATTTAAATATTCATCTGCTTAAAAAAATTCTTGGCACATGAGTGTACCTCCCTCTCTTCTCTCCCTATGTCATCCATGGTACCAAATTAGCATGTATGTTTGCTTATATGTATATGTGTTCATGCATGTATGCCATGTTTTGAGAGGGAAAAAATCTACTTTATTCCTGTTTCATACTTTCATTTCTTAGTCCATTTTGTTCATTTAATTTTTCTACCATTTTCTCTTAAAAAATGTTCATTTCCCCATGTATACTTTAAAAATCCCATAACATACTCACATTTGAATTAGATTACAATTTTCTTTCAACCTCCAGTAGGCCTATTGTGAAGTTATTGCTTCTGTGGCTTTGTTTTAGACTTTAGACATTTTGTTCATTCGTTTTCAGGATTTTAAAAAAATATATCTACTATGTGACAGGCAATGTTTTAGGTGCTGGAGACAGAAAGATGACTAAAATAAAGCCTTCTTCCTCAAGTAGTTTGCAGTGTGTCTGTAATGAGATTGGAAATGTGACCTGAGCATTGTAGGAGCTCAGGAGAAGGGGAGAGCATCAAGGGCGGCCGGCGGAGTGGCGCTCAAAGGATGAGGACCGTTGTGCGAGTCCAGGCGGCAGTTGCTCTCTTAGCCTCAGGACCACGGTGATGGAAGAGCCTGGATATTCCAGGGAAGGAGGGTCAGCTAAGTCAAGAACCCTTTGCCAACCCATGCCGACTCGCACTGCGTGAGGACAACCTAACCGAAAGCCATTGGTCTTCATCCATTGTCATCCAGCACATTCCAATTTCCTTTTAAATTTAGATAGACTTAGAGAATAGTGTCATTTACTATGATTTGTCTGCAATGGGGAGAGTCTTTAAGACAAAGAGTGATAAGTTATGTGGAAAACTCAGGAAACTCATGCTTAATAAGTGATGGAAGTCAGAGGCGGGAAGGCATGGAATAGATAGATGGTAGTCAGGTGTAATTGTGGAGGACTTTATAGGTAGGCAAATAATATTTTTTTCATATTTTGGAAGTCTGGGAAAATTAAGTCAAATTCAGCTTTATCATGCAAAGCAATCAGAAGAGGTAGTAGTATAGTATGGAAAATGAAGATTTTATAGAACGAGGCAACCTAGGGACTTGGTGTAATTAGAACAGATAAATTAGGAAGGTGAGAAAGAGGAATGGAACAAGTTTCTTTGTCCTTTACATTTTAATATTAATAATTACTACATAGTCTTTTAGGAGGTTGTAGTTTTACAATTTCTTTGTGTTTGACACTGAGAAAAGATGCTAGCGTGTTTTTGCATATAAGTGCACCATAATGTTTGCAATATCATCTGATTAAATGCAGATGTCTCATAATTTGATCTTGTTTATGTCGAATTTGTATCATATGCCAAAAGTTCCCGAGAAAGACCCTATGCCTTGATTTAGAAAGTCTGCCAATTTTGGAAAAATCTGTCTTTAGTTACTGATTTCTCTTACAGTCTGGCTGAAACTGCAAAGACTCTTGAAGCAACCAAGAACAGATCGTCCATATCCATTTTGGCTGCAGAGGAGGAAATAAATCAGCTAAGAAAGCAGTAAGGAAAAAAAAAAATGACAGGATTATTGCAGCCTGCTGATTAATCTTTGAATTTAGCTATTTTGGTGTTCCATTACAATATGAAAGAATCTGTTCACAATCAAAGAGGAAAGGGAACAATATTTTTATTAATGTTCTATATATTTTTCTTACTATAAAAACATTACCTGTCTACTGGAGAGAATTTTCAAAGTGCAATATAATATAAGGAAACTAAAATCCTTCTCTTAATTTCAGAACTTGTTACTGTTACCATTTGACATTCTTTCCAATTCATATGTTAGAAATAGAGTTAAGACTACAAAATAAATATAAGTTTACAATTTTGAACCCCATTTTTTCACCTCACATTGTTTTTCTCTATTACTAATGAACCCCCCGCCCCCTCCGGCAGAACTTAGTTTTGGATAGGTGCATTGTGTTCCATCCTTCGGGTAGTTCCCTAATATTATTTACTGTGACACCAATTTTCGACATTGGAAATAAGATTGTGATGATTTCTGTGGCAAATCTTAGTTTAAATTTCAGATTATTTTCTAAAGATAAATTCCTAGAAGGGAAAAATAAATACTGATCCTTCCTTGATTTTCATTTTGATACTTCCTCCCCCGCCCCCAGAAAAGAGCAAGTGGAAATTGTATTAAAATCCATATATGTAAATACATATATTTATACATGAATACTATTCTATTGCCTTCGCACATTATTCCAGTTTTTGATTTCTTCAGGAACACCCCTAAATTTAGCTTGGCGCACTGTTCTGCTCTCCATTTCTATCTCTCCTCTCATCATTTTAATCGCTTATCCCTATTTGATACACCTTCTCAAATGCATTGATCAGATTACTCAGTGATTCTGCTCTTTCCTGTTTCTAGCACAGCTTTTAATCCTGCAGTTGCATTCTTTAGCTTCTCTGCATCCTTCTCATTCTTACCCCTTACCGTTTCATCTTACACCATTCTCATCTTCATCACAGCATGTCCTCCTCTTATGGCTTTTGGTCCTGTTTTGTGATAGCCATCCCTCTGTTTCTTTACAAAGATGCCACTTTTATTTCTGAAGCTTTGTTGGTTTGTTTCTGTAATACATTATTTGCATTGGTTACACTTCCACCTAATATTGTGGATGATGTTCAGTTTCCATGGTAGTTTTCCCTCAGAGTCCGTCTTCAGAGGTAAATATCTTTGCCTGGCTTTGGGGCTAGGTTTTGGAGGTCAAATGTTTCTAGAAGTTTGTGCAGTTAATATCAGTCCATTCTAGACAAACATGCCCACAGGCCCGCTCTGCTTTTGCTAGAGGATCTGTGTGCCTATCTCTTCTTCAGGAGACTTTTCCAATGCAAGCTGCAGGCATGGAGTGACCCCTGACCCCGGCAAGTCTACTCTTTGCTAATTTATATTTGTGCCGATGCATTTCCATTAGAGTTTTCCAATGCAATAATGGCATGTTGAGGTAGAGTAGCCTCTGTTTTAAGTATGCAACTGTTGCTTCTTACCTTTCCTTCTTCTGTCCCTCCTTCTCTTTTCTTTCCTAATCTTTTTTTCTGTTCAGGCTTAAATCTCTTCAAGCCCAGGAGGAGTCCCGCCACAGAAACTCAGCACACAGAAGCTCTGTGCACAGGAGCGCAGCACAGCGTGGCGTGGAGTCTCGAAGCTCAGAGCCGAGGACCTCTGAGCAGAGGGAACCGAAGGATCGCAGCTCGGACAGGCGCAGCTCGGACAAGCGCGCCTCCAGCTCTGACAAGTCTGACGCAGAAGTGATATCTGATTATGAGAAACAGCTTCGGAAGCTGAAGGACGAGATCGCCGTTCTGTCTTCTGAAAAATCTGTGCTCCAAGGAAGGTCCGACACATTCTCACAGAGCTTTTCATTCAAGTTCTTTTTGTTTGTGATAAAAGTCTGGCTTGGGGGAAAACAAAGTAAAATGACATCCTTGAATCCAAACCCCAACAACATGGGAAGCTTTGAATTGTGAAGTGTTTTCTCACCTTTCCAGAGAGAGAAACCACCCCGGGGGTTGCCAGTACTTAGGCACTAATTGATCTGGGGTTGTCCTTGAAGTTTTAAAGAATGAAACCGAGAGGTATGAGAAAGGGCAGTTGTTTAGCTTGAAACTAGATTTGAGTGGGCCTGCAAGACAACAGGTAGTACTCATATTGAAAGAATGTTCCATGATATGAAGGTCCTGTTCTCTTAAGGCCTAAGAGTCTTAGATGAGCAACTGTCATTTTACTGTAGGCTATTTCCTTTTTATAGCTTTGTTTGAGGAAGGTGTGGGTAGGTGTTCTTGTGAAACCCCTTTCTGCTGATGGACAGGTGTTAAGACACGCCATTCAGGCAGTGCTGGGTAAAGACAAAGCAGGATGTTTGTCTTTGGAGTCATTGCGTTTCCCTTGTTCTTTCTAACCCTGTTCCCCGAGCCTGATAACATGTCCTGGTTCAAGTTATTAAAGCCACCCCCATGCCAGGTCCCCGTTCCTCTAAATGTCACCTTAGTCCTTCATTTTTGGGAATCACTCCTCCTGCAGTGTTGTGCTGCTGCTGGCTTGCACTGGCTCCTAAAAATGAATTCTGTGCCTTCCTGCTTGAGATCGGCCATGGTTGGCGTCTTTTTCACCCCACGGGAATTGACAAATATGATTAACGAGGGCTTCCCCCACCCCTTTAGAGTCCTCTTTGCACTACATTTCACCCCAGTTTCTTCTACAACATTTCCTTTTTTGGGGGGCAGGGGGTGGGTGTTGCCTTTGGGCTAGCTAGTGTGATAATTTCTGCTGTACTTGGTAGCCATAAACGTTTTACAGATACAATGCTTTCCCATTCACCAAGTTCTACCAAGTATTAGCTCACTTGATCTTCCAATCCCCAGCCCCACTGCGGAAAAACAGCGAAAATGAAGTAGGTGAGAACTGAGGCTCTGGAGAGGAGACCCGATGGCAATCGCTCCCGCTGCTGTGACGCTGTCCAGCGGCAGCCACAACACATCGTCTTTCTCATGGTTCATTGTTCATTTCATTTTATACCATAAGGCTCACCAAGGTAGGGGTATGAAATAAAGAAGATCTGACTTCTTTAATTCCGGCTCTTACTAGCTATGTTACTCCAGGACAGCCAATTAACTTTTCTGAGCTTCAGGTTCTTCATCTGTAAAATGGCCAACGATCAATGCCGGCCTCACAGGGCTGTATGAAGTATAAATGGAGATGCTCAGTGAGCGCTTCAGCAATTCTAGTGCACCGTGCAAACAGTCTGTTTTATGGTTGTGCTCCCACAGGCCTGGTGGGGGCGTCCTGGAGCCCCTGCTTTCTGGGCCTGCAGGGCCCAGGGCTCGAGTATCATTTGCAGTTGATGGAGGAGAAGCAGAGTCCTGGAAGGACAGAGAAGTGAGTCACTGGGCTTCCCTGCTGATTCTTGCTTACCAACAGGTCCACCGGGAGCGGGTCTTCAAGCCCTGCCCCTCGCAGCCGCAGCCGCAGCCGCAGCCGCACCCGCAGCCGCAACCACAGCCGCAGCCGCAGTGGCAGCCGCAGCCGCAGCGACAGCCGCAGCCGCAGCAGGTCAGGCAGCCCCTCCACCGCAGTGGTGAAGGTCAGGACCCCGTCTCCGAATCCCGCCAAACTGTCCAGCGCGGCGCGCAAGGCTGCCCTCTTGTCGCGGTTCAGCAATGCCTACTCCCAGGCCCGCCTGGACGCGCAGTGCCTGCTGCGGCAATGCATCGACAAGGCCGAGACCGTGCAGCGGATCATCTACATCGCCACAGTGGTAGGTGACATTCTGGCCGCGCCCCAGCGGCCCTTGGGTGCAGCAGGGAGAACGCAGTTCGGTACACTGAACAGTACAGCTTAAAGAGGCCGGCAGATCCCGAGGTCCCTGCAGGAGGGTGGGATTTCTATGCTTTCCCCTTCCTCCCTCTCACCCTGTCTTCCTTCTTCCACTGCAAATATTTGGGATGAATCATTTTTCGGGATGAATCATTTTTCAGGATCAATAACTGTTCATATGTATTATTATTGCTATTGATTAGACATTTGGTGAACTATTTATAACTGTGGGACAATCTGGAATGGGTTTATACTTAGTTGATTTGCCTGGAATCTTCTAAATGGGAATAGATAGATACACTAGTGGGTATATTATTGCTGATGGCTATCGTTTGATTGATTTCCTTCCATTCTTAGGAAAATCAGAAAAGTAGTTACCAAAACTGCTAACATATCAGCTACTTGAGTATGGCAGTTTAAAAAGTGCTCATGTACAAGGTCCGGCACACATAATGCCCTTTTTTAATTACAAAATCATAAGCATATAATTCGGTAACATAACAATATCATACTCAAGCAGATCATATGACATTTTAGGTGAAATGTTCAAATTAAAACTAAATTATTACACCCAAATTATTACCATACCAACCACATTCAAGCAGGTGTTACTTCTGCTGGATCTGGTATAATCCTAAATCCCAAAGGAAATGGGTTTGTTCCGTTGGTACCATATTGAGATAATGGGTCCATTATGAGAGCAATTAAATAGTAAATAAAACAGAACATTGATATGAGAGTAGAATTATCAGAGTCTATGGCACTTTATCCTATATTTTTAAATTCATGTCAAGGGTCAGCAAACTAGGACCTGTGGGCCATAACTGGCTGTGACCTTTATTTCTAAGAAACATACCACCTGAGAGCTAAGATTTTAAGAAGAGTTTTACATTTTAAAGGGTTGTAAAAAAAAAAAGTGACCAGAAAAGATTAAAATATTGGGTTGGCCAAAAAGTCCGTATGGTTTTTTTCCGGTAAAATGCAAGACATTTTTCATTTTCAGGAGTAACTTTATTGATTTTGATATTTTGAGTGTGTTGGCTATCTCCTGCATGGTAGAACATTGATTGTTCTGAATTAATGTCCCAATTTGATTGCTATCAACTTTAACTGGTCTACCCAACCGTGGAGCATTGTCCAGCAAGAAATCCCCAGCATGAATGTTGGCAAACCACTTTTGACACATTCGATCAGTCACAGCACCTTCTCCATACACCGCACAAATCGTTTTTGCACTTCAGTCGCATTTTTACCTTTCTTGCAATAATAAGGCATAATATGTTGAAAATATTGCTTATTTTGTTCTATCTTCAATATTAAAATAGCTACATAAAAATTCATCAATTTTGATAAGTTTTTAAAAAATGCTGATATGACAACTGTCATAATACAACCTAACAAAATTGTTTGGAATGAAGTTAAAGACAACTGAGCGCTACTAGAGCCTTCTGATGGAAAAAAAACGAACAAACTTTTTGGCCAACCCTATATATACTGTCTGGCTCATTAAAGAAAAAAGTTTACCAGTCTCTGGTTTGAGAATCCCTTACTGAGTTGGTTAAAATTCTGGAAGCATAGAGGCCATGTCTTTCCTGTATAACTAAGTTTTCCCAGTGTTGACTACATAACAACCATTTAATAAATATTTGTTGAATTAATATTTCAGGAAACAAGCCCAACGCTTGATATGTGTTTCTGTTAACAAACACTACAAAATTAACAAACACTACAAAAATTAACAAACACTAACAAAATTAACAAACACTAGGTGGATAATTTTCTCTTATTTCTGGACCAGTAATATGGTGTTGCTGTGGAATCATAGCATAGGCTAGCATTTTTCCAGGATTTATGTAACCATAGATGATTTACTTCCTTGATCTTCTGTTCTGTCCTGCACTCCATATTACCAGAACAATGGTCCACTATCTTTAAATTAGTGAACATAATGTATATCTAATTATGTACTTTTCAAAATTGAGGTAGACATTTTCTCCCAGATTAAAAATAGTTTTGACCAACTGTGTTTAACATTGAAGACAGATGTTGAATTTTTGATGGGTGCCCTTTCTTCATTTCTTGCTTTGGACTTCTTTGCTCCTCTCCTCTCACCAAACAAATCTGCTGCGATTTTTATGTGCAGGAGGCCTTCCATGTAGCTAAAATGGCATTCAGACATTTCAAGATCCGTGTGAGGAAATCTTTGTCACCATCTTATGTGGGGTCGAATGACTTTGATGATGCTGTTGCAGATTATATCATTTGTCATCTCGATCTATATGATTCCCAAAGCAGTGTCAACGTAAGTGTTGGGTCTCGTGTTGGGCTGGTTTGCTGAATACTGATAACCCAGAAACCCATTCAGTGCTTCGTGTATGTAATGGAAGAGCAGAAACGAGTAGCATCCAATTTACTTTGCAGAACCAGTCAATATTGGCTGTTTCTTTCTTAGACATTGTAGGGGGGGAAACATTCCAAGCTTTATAGTTCTATTCTTTAGATCAGTGATTTTCAACCAAGAATTTTTAAAACATGCAATACCTGACTGTTTAGTCAGGGGCACTAAACTCTTTCCCCTTAGATTGTCAGATTAAAAGAAAAGTGAAAACAGCCAACACAATAGCTGTCTGGTGTGAATGAGTCAAAACTATACCTATTTTTTTGTCAGATAGGTAAAAAAATATTTTTTGGGGTGCTGCAGAATTTTAGTAATTAGTTTATGTGTGGCATGAGATGGAAAGCGTTGAAAATCAGTGCTTTACATGGGCCCTTAAGATCAGAAGGTAGAACATCATAGTGCCTAAGACTTTGGGAAAGATAAGTGTGGATTTGCATCCTGGCTCTGCTACTTACTAGCTGTGTGACCTTACGCATTTACTTAACCCCTCTGTGCTTTAGTTTTCTAATTTTTAAATGGGAACAGCAATAATCACGACCCTATAGCATTTTTGAGAGGATTAAATGAAAGAAAGAAGATTGTTAGCTTAGCACAAGACTTGGCACATAGTGAACTCTCAATAAAAGCGAGCTATTATAACAATTATTATTATAAATTATGAACAAGTCAGAGTTCTGTTGTTGGCATATCATATAACTTGTCCAGAATTTAAGAAAAAAAGAGTAAATAAAAGCTACTGAGGGTTTTTTCTTTAATTTTTTTTTACGACTCTCTCGGCCTTTGGTTTGTCATTTGTACCCTGCCATCTCTCCTTCCTGATTAATGAGGCTCCCTCCTTTCAGCACACGTCCTCCCTCCCTAGTGTAACCCCTTTTACTCCCATTTTCTTTTCCCGCTTCCAACAGTCCTAATGTCCTTGGGATTGTCAGAGTTGTCAGTTACAGGTTGGTAACAAGGCGATGCCGTCTTTTTGTTTTTCAGGATGTGATCCGAGCCATGAATGTCAACCCCAAGATTTCATTCCCCCCGGAAGTTGACTTTTGCCTCCTCAGTAACTTCATTCAGGAGATATGTTGCATTGCCTTTGCGATGCAGACTTTAGAGCCACCCCTAGATACTGCATTTGGGGCTGATGGAGAAATTTTTAATGATTCCAAGTAAGAGACATAAGTGCAAAAGCTAAGGGACATAAATAAGTGATCTTGTCTCTATTTCCTGGGAACAGTTTAGGGAAAAGAACACTGGGTAAGGAAATCAACAGACATGATCTGACTTCTAGGCCCTTCTCTGTTACTACGGGACAGAGCCCTCTCCCGGGGTCCTTTTCCTTCCCAGTCAAATGTGTTTCAAAGGGGACGATATGATTTTCATTGATCACATTGGTCTTGGGGAGAACTAATAAAGTACCTGGAACACTTCTGGAACATTTTAAAAGAAAAGTTCTATATAAATACAAATAAATGTTACTTTTTATTGTTTAAAAACTTTTTAGTGATGTATAACTGACATATAACTTTATATTACCTTCAAGTGTACAACACAATGGTGTGATATTTGTGTATATTGCAAAATGATTACCACAATAAGTCTAGTTAATACCTGTCACCATGCATAGTTACAAATTTTTTTTCTTGTGCTGAGAACTTTTAAGATCTACTTTTTTATAGCAACTTTTAAATATGTGGCACAGTATTTTAACTATAGTCACCATGCTGTACATTAAATCTCCTGATGTATTTTATAATGGAAAGTTTGTGTCTTTTGGCCACCTTAACCCATTTTGCCTACCCCCATGCCTCTGGCAACCACCGTTCTGTTTTTTGTGTTTATGAACTTAGATTTTGTTTGCTTTTTTAAAAAATTCTGCATATATGTGGGATTATATGGTGTTTGTCTCTCTCTGTCTTATATCTCTTAGCATAATACCCTTAAGATCCATCCATGTTGTTGCAAATGGCAGGATTTCATTCTTTTTTTATGGTTGAGCAATATTCCATCGTATATATGTTTCGTGTCTTCTTTATCCATGGACACTTAGGTCGTTTCCATATCTTGGCTATTGTAAATAATGCTGCAATAAACATGGGGGTGCACATATCTTTTCAAATTCGTGTTTTTGTTTTCTTCAGATAAATACCCAGAAGTGGAATTGCTGGATCATATGCTAGTTCTATTTTTAAATTTTTGAGGAAACTCCATACTGTTTTCTGTAGTGGTGCACCAATTTATGTTCCCCCCAACAGTGCACATGGGCTTTCTTTTCTTTACATCCTCACCAAAACTTATTTCTTGTCTTTTTGCTAATAGCCATTCTAATATGCATGAGGTAGTATCTAATTGTGGTTTTGATTTGCATCTTTTAATATACCTGTTGGTCATCTGGATGTCTTCTTTGGAAAAATGTCTGTGTAGATTCTCTGCCCATTTTAAAATCAATTTTTTTTTTTGCTTTTATATTGATTTGTATTACATTATTTAGGCCAGGTTTCTCAAAGTATAACATATAGATTACTTGTATCAGAAATGCTCAGGATATTTATTAAAAGGCAGATTCCTGGATCGCACTCTGTGATATTTTATGCAGTCACTCTGAGGTGGGGCTTAGGAATCTAATTTAAGAAGCGCTAAAGTATTCTTTATGCATACCATTTGAAAATGACCTTCCGCGACTCTTATCTAGGACCATTAGATTTCTACCAAGTGTTATCTGGTAAATATTTCCTTTACAGATAAGAAGAAATTAAATTAATTTAGAACATTTTGCTGAAATTTTGTGAGATCTTATGCTATAGCTGGAGATTATCTGGGAGGAGGCCAAGAGGTTAAGAACAGAGGCTCCTGTGTCAAGCTGCCTGGGTTCCAATCCTGGCTCCGCCATGAATTAGCTATACAATCTGGGCTTGTTACTTCATTTTTCTGTTCCTTAGTTTCTTCTCTGTCAAATGGGGAAAATAATAATCCCTACTTCTTAGGGCTGTAGAAAGGTCATTGAGACCATTCAGATAAAGTACTTCGGGACAGTGCTTGGCGTAGTGTAAGCTCAGGACACGTTGGCTCTGGGTTGTCTTTCAGGCTGTGGAGTGATGGGTATGTGGCAGCCCCACATTCCTGCACCCTTGTGGATGATAGAGACCATGCACGTCTCTTTGGCTTATGGAAACCACAGTGATGGTGTCTCTGATCGCCATATAATCTGTCATATTTTCTTGCTATTGCCTTGCTTCTAGTTTCTTTCAGATCACTGCTCCCTGCATACATCCACTCAAGGAAGAGCTATATAGTAGAACACAGCACGGCAGTTGGATATTTTTGGTTCTTTTACAGAACATATCTGCATCCTCTTTTTAAAAATTCCTTTTTCCTTTAGAGAATGTATGGTCCCACTCAAATACTCATCTGCTTTGGTTTGTGGAATCTGCACATTTTGCAGACCTCTGGCGGGCCTCCTGCCTGCATGCCTTTAATCAGAGGGAACATGCAGCCTCCTGGGGCACTCTGTGGACTGTACTTCTGCTTGGCTGTGGAGTGGAAACTGGAGTTCCTAGTAATGATTGGGTTTGGTCTTACTTCTAGGACTTCACAGCACAAGTCTAATCCTTTTCTTTTCTTTTCTTTTTTTTTTTAAAACTCTGGCAGCCTTTCACACATTTAAAAGCAATTAATCAAATTCTCCTTCTGGCCTCATGCCTTCAGGTTTTTTCCATATGAAGTGGGGTGGGGGGCTTTGAGACTTCTTGAGACACAGAACTGTTTCTGTGGCCTGGGCTCCGTGCTCTTTCAAGCATTCCTTTTTAAGAAAATGTCCGCACCAAAAGTAGCGCCCTGGTTTGAACTGACCAGTCTAGAGGGACTAACACCCTTTCCATTCCTATTCTCTATTAATTCAGCTAATTTTTAAAGTATTTTCCCCAGACATATAACACTGTTCACTCATTTTGAGTTCAACTGAAATCTGTTATTACATTTTTACGTGGGCCGTGATTAAGCCATTTATTACCCCTGTGTAGTTAAAACCTTTTTATTCAATGGCAAGAGCCCATAGGCACCCACATTACATGGTGTCAGATTCAGCTTACTTTTCCAGCCAGTTGAGCTATTTTTTGATACTGTCATCTGCTTTTTTCCTGATCCCCTCCCCACCTTTAAACAGTTAATCTACATTCCATGCAAATCGTTGATGACCATGTTGGTTTATCACAGCTTTGAGAGAGAGCCCTTTGCCCCTTCATTCATCTGCTCATCGACCCATTAAGTACCTCTTTTTCATAGGATCATTGAACCAGTTTCCAACTTACCTACTTAAGTTAATCATCCACTTATATTTATTTATCTCATTTTGTCCACAAAGAGACCATGAGAAATCTTATAGGAAGCCTATGGGATGTCACATGGTCTCTAGTATTCCCTGAATTGCAAATCTTGTAATCCAGAGAAGAGAACGAGATTAGTCTGAGGCAACTTGTTCTTTGTGAGTCCATGCAGGTCCTCATTATTACTGGTTCCTATTCTAAGAGCCCACAGCCATCTCTTTAATTACAGCATCAGGATCTGTATTTATGTAGATCTGAGTATAATCACAATGGAAATTTACACTGATGCTCCCTCCAGTTATGCTACTTAATTGCTTAACTTCTCTCTCTCCTTCCTTTGTGTGTTTAAAACAGGTACCGTCGCAGCTATGACTCTGATTTCACTGCTCCCTTGGTCTTCTATCACGTGTGGCCTGCCCTCATGGAGAATGACGTTGTCATTATGAAGGGAGAAGCTGTCACCAGGAGAGGGGCTTTTGTACGGTGGCCTTGCATAGTGACAATTCATCCCAAGTGTTTGATTCACAAGTTCGAGAACATTTATAAACCCAGAGATTCTATAAAAGAAGTTCTTAAAGAGTTGCTTGATAAGATTTCATACAAAGGAGAGGAAAGAGCAGATTCTTTTGACTTGTCCATCATTGTTCATAATTTCCTGGCAGTAATTTCTATGCCTTTTTTCTTTATCTGTAAGATGGAACTAGTCCTACCTGCCTCCCCTATCTTATAATATTAAGCTATTATAAGGGTAAAAACCTTTGACCTCACCTATGGGAGGCCATCTGTAAACTCTAAGCATTTAAAGGTGATTAACTTTCAGGAAATAGTTTGTCAAATTTTTACTGTCAATTCTACATTTGGGGAAATAATGAATGTGCCCAGTTTTTCTCTCCTTAGTATGACATGTAGAGAGGGGAGGGATGGAGGAGAAGAGGGCAGAGGAGGCGGGGAGAGAGGAGCCAATCAGTTGGAAGGTTACTTCCTGTGTACATTGGTTGTAGAATGCTTTGAATATGTGAAATAATTGGATAACCTTCAAAACAGTGTTAGATATGCAAGTATCTGAGTGTGAGTGTGTGTGTGTGTTGTGGTCGGGACTGGGTATTAGAACTGGTGGCCAGGAGTGCTTGGGCATTCTTTAGAGGGAACATTATAGAGTTTGTACCCTGCCCTTCCTAGAAAGAGTTAAGTAAATTCTGAAGTGAAGCTCCTCAGTCCTGATCAAAGCCACCATCGGGGTGGTTTCAGGTCCCACGCTCTTTGAGCAGAAGAATAGGGGATGTGCTTCATGCAGCTTTTCACGCATATAGGGGAGAAGGGAAGCCATGTCTTTTAAAAGAACTTAAGACAAGGGTTCTTGCAGCTTAAGCAGCCCACTTTAGCTCATAGCATCTCAATAGAATACTTTGTGCACTGAAAGTTGAGCCCATAGAAATTGGGCTGTGTTGATCTGACAGCCACAAATCCTGTACAGCGAATGAGCTCATTACACATGCTTCTTGCCCCTACAATAGTTACTCTTTGTTAAGAAACTCTTATTGTAGAAATAGCCATTATTATGTTTTACATCAAATAGCAATTGCCTTTTAATTTCCTTCTCTCTTCAACAAGCATATCACTAACATTTACTCAAGTTTAAACTCTTAATACCAAGTAAGAATACCCTAAAAGGAAGAACTTGGAAAAGGAAAGGGTTAAATGAAAGGAAATTTTTAAGGACTTTTACAACACTAGTGAAATCTCATTATAGTGAATATAGTTTTCTTCTTACTCATTAATTTAAAGACTTGATGGGCAACAATGGTGATTCACTCAGTCATTCAATTCACTTCTTTCAACAATAGTTATTCTGCAGTTATGTATGACCGAGGGGCTGGAGGTTCATCAGTGAACAAAACACTCAAATCCCTGCCCACAGGGAGTTTACATTTTCCAACACTGGCAAACAACGTAGTTGGTAACAATTTATTCACCAAACAAAGTTCTACTAACACCGAGAGTGTGAATATCCCAAAGTTCATTGTAATGGGATTTTATTTGAGAAATACCCTAAAGTTATGTCACATATTGGGCAGCTATAGTACATGAAAGGAGCATACTTCATGCTGATGACCAGTAATGGGCAAATGCAATCATATCAACAAAACTCTTTATTTGTAGGATATGCATACTGTTTTAAGCCATGTGAGCATTCATGCGCGCTATTGCCTGTTTTCTTTCTCTCTCACTTTAGTGGAATTCGGTGCGATCTGTAAGCCGATGTCGAAGCAGGAGTTTGAGTCCCATCTACCCCCGTAGCCATATTGGTTTAAGCATGGTACGTATCTAATCATTTTTACACAATATCAACCGGAAGAGCACGGTTGACATTTTAAAATTCAACAGTAGCCTGTAAAGCAGGTGATTATAAATCTGTAGGTAGAAAGAGAACCTGTTGTAGTAACCCCAAACTGATTTTTTTTTATACTATCTTGGACCAAGGAATTGATCATCTAGAAAGAAGTCGAGGTAATTTTTTTCTGCATTAGTTGAAAGACTAATAGACTCTAGTTATTTCGTAGTTTTATTTTTATCTTTGAAAGAAAATGGGCTATTAGATATCAGTAAGCCTTCTGAACAGAAAATGGGACACCTTGGTCAACTGATGTCAGCACAGGTCCCCACTATCTCTGGGACTTACTGTATGCTTTGGAGAAATTGCTCAAATGGTCTGGATTTCAATCCTGTATAAAGGGCATAGCAGGTATTAATTTTCCTCCCATTTTCAGAGTAGGAAGGATAAGGTTAGTCTCTTTTTCTATCAGTTCTTGGGAGGATCATTAATACTTCTGTCAAAGGAAAAAACAATAATAGCAGTAACATTTCTGAAAACTAAAAATATTGTTATGATTCACCATTGTTGATTTACTCAAAAAGTATTTAGTCAATGCCTTTTGAATACACGACTGGACTATGAGACATGTGGACACCAGACAGGCTAATAATGTGCTGTTCCTTTAAATAAAAAAAAAAAAAAGTTAAAACAGTGTTTTAGAGAGAATGGTGGAGAAGGAGAAATGCATCTGGTAACAGTCCACTTCTCTGAGATTGTCTCTAGCAATGCAGCTCTAGCCCCAAACTTCTACCTGCCTTCCCCCAGCAAAACAAAATGAAAACCCCTGCGGTGATAGGACCCACCTTTCTTACTGAGCTTAGTGAGTGTCTAGTGTTACTCCACCCACTCATTATATTTGATAATGTCCTTATCAAACCTTCCTTCTGCATCTCATGGATGCTAGACCGGGGTGGGGGATGGGACATAAAAATAACCAAAACATGGTCTCTTCCTTGGCTGGGTTTCAATATAGGTAGACCAATATGATTTAAACAAAGCAATTGAATACAGTATATGATTAGGTTCATAAAAGAGGCAGAAAGTTCTGGAGCTATCAGAGGAGGTAAGATGCCTTCTGGGTTCGGTGGTAAGGAAGGGATGCCTGGAGGAGTTGACATTGGATCTGGCAGACTTTCAGCAAGCATGACAATTGGGGAGAAAAAATCCAAATGAAGAGAATAGCCTGGGAATGGAAAAGGCACGTGTCTGACACAGTTCTTTCGCTTTCGGAGACTTTAATATAACTTAATTGTCCTTGTTCAGGAATAAGTATTTACAGTAAGTAAAAGATAGCAGATAAGTATTTACAGTAAGTCAGCAGAAGGATAGGGTATTCAGTAGACTGATCAGCAGAAAGGAAACCTTGGGTTTTATACTGGAAACACAGTATACTGGATATACTGGTTTATACTGGAAACCCTATCACAGTGCTCCTTAGTCTAAGAGGAAGTGGCTCATCAGAAGAAAGAGCAAATTACTCTTTCTTACTCTGCTGACATCCGCCGCAACTTGTACCTTCAGACACACCCTGGAAGGCAGGCGTCCGTGGGCACCGCCCCTCTTTAATATGCCCACATCTGTGTTTGACCCACCCCTCTCGCCTTTCCACCTTGTGTCCAAGGAGAACAAAGTAATTTAAACTTCAGAGGAGAATAAAATACATCCTCGAAGGTGAACCTGCTCCCAAAATTCTGTCCCTTTCCACTCTCCTCTCCTTACAGCCAGACTGGCAGACTTGCAAAATAAAATACAAATATTTTTGGTTAGTCTGGTCTTTGGCTTATTTGAGGTCTTGCCTCCAGAGCAGCTCCATCTTTGCGAGTGTTGAGCTGAAGTGATTGAAAGCTCCGGGCAAGGGCGATGCTTGTGGTCAGCTATTTCAGAAACGTAACAGGTGGCTTTTGGTTAGTTAAAACAAAGGTGAGGTTTGAGAAACAATTTTTCCTTCTGGCTGCCTAGTGACTCTCCTTAATAGGGCAGTGTTTTGGACATATGAGACAATTCATATAAAGGATCTGCCAAACAGCATTTAACTGTTTGAGCTTTACTTGGTTCATAATAATTTTCTGCGACGCTTCGAATTCAGTATGGCCACTGAACACCTAATCTCAAAGTGTTTAGCAACTGTTAAACAGCAACAACAAAAGGCAACAAAAACTAGGCCACTGAGGCCAGCTTTTAATTGATAATAGAATTTAAACTAAATTGAGTGCCCATTTACTTCAGGAAGTAAACAAGGAAGCGCAGTTGCCAACCTTAGTGGGAGAAATCTAAATTTTAAAGTGTGTAGAGCAGCTACTTCGCTGATGTTTCAGGAAAAACAGAAGTCAAAAGGACTCATTTGTTGAGCTCTGTCTGCTGTGTAACGCCCATTCTACCTTCATGTCTTCCAGCTGCCTCGAAGTCGGAGCCCTTCTCCCATACGATGTGGATTGCCAAGTAAGTGGGGTGGTGTAGATGGAACAACTTCTGTCTTAAACAAAAATTTTTTTCAATTAATGCTCCCTTCTGACACCTTTCATTTCTGGTTGGGTGGTACCTGAGCAGGTCCCATGGGTGATGTAAGAGGAGGCTCCAATTGAGAGATTTTATCGATGTAAAACCCAGATTAAGCATGCTGCTTTCATTCCTATCCAAAGAAACCCTTAAGAAAGGGACCATAACAATGAGTTGTTTTTTTTTCTCCTTAGGGTTCTAAAACCACCAGACAGGTTCCCTGGCCACAGCGCATCTGCCGCAGCCAGCCTCCCAGCGCGCTGTCCGCCCGCCGCGCCCGCCTCTCACCTTGCTTAAGATAATGTGAAAGGGCAATTCTGTGTACCACTCCGCACAGAGAGTTAAATGCTTTGGCTTAACGCATTTGTAACTTCAGATATATTGCATTTTGTTTTATTTTATAGATACAAATTCTATTAATTTGATAAAAGCTATTGCCTAGGTGTTTAGGATCGTATTCCTTCGGAGCAGAGTCCATACCCAGGTGCAGGATTCTCATCCTGAAGTGCCAGGCCCTTTTAGGGCAACTGTAAGAACAAAGATCGAAAACCTTTACCATGCTGAGTCCAAAAGACACGACAATAAGGTTCGGTTTACAAACTGATTATAAATATTATAATCGATGGCATTAGCTTTAATTGGAAAACAATATTGGGTGTTCTAATTTGCTTTCATGGTTTGGAGGACAGCGCTAATCTCAGCTTGGCCAACTTGTAGCAGTAACAGTGACTTCAGGCTGGATAGAGATGATGGTGATTTAAGAGACTATAGGTCACAGGCTTTTGCTTCTATTTGCCTACTTTGAGTGCCCAGTTGGTTTAGCCGAGTACTGTATGTTGAAGTTACTGAGTTGAGAGAGTTTTCTTGCTTCATAAATGTGGAGCAGTGATTTGGAGCCAGCATTGAGATAAAGGTTAATTACCTTGAGTTTATCTCTTGAGAATATTTCATACAGTGTTAATGTATGTGTCAAATATAAAAGTTACCTGGGATTTGCCCTTTATCTACTCCACCTAACTCATTTACAGACTCAGGTCTCCTATGAATTCTGAGTAAAAATACATAAATTCAAGGCTTGAAACTAAGGACACCATTTATTGATTTTTAAATTGAATGTATAGCGCTTAATTTCTTCACTGTGAAGTACTGTTGTAAGTTCAAGTTAATGATGGAACGTGGCATTCTCAAGATAAGTAGTAGTCTTTTCAGCTTTTTCCTTTTTCTTTTAAACTTTAAAGCCACCTTAAACATAAGCCTTACAAACGACTGCTTTCCCCATGTGCCTTCTAGAGAGAAGCTCTGTGTGGCCACAGCTCGGTTTGCATCAGCTCTGTGCCAAAGCCAGCACCTGAGGCTTTTCAGGTGGAAAAAACCCAAATTTCTCTAAAACATCTTGTCCCTAGAGACAAGGGAGAGACCACCTCATCCCTGCCCCTTGGGTCTAACGGTCACCAAGTCATTCTGAAATGCGAGGGTAGCTTTCCCCTCTCTGCGTCTGTATGTGGTTACCACTCTGAGGCAATGCAGTGCGCTGTAAGGGGAACGTGGTGCCCATGTAACTCCAGTCTCAGTCTGGTCATTAGCTGGCTTGGTGGCCTTGAGCAAATGATTTCACCTCTCTGAGACTTTGTTCACTGTAGAGAAAGAAGACTGGGTGAGATTAGTGGTTCTCTCAACCCTGCCGAGTTGGTGCCCCCTTCTTAAACAAATGTTTTATTCTGGTTTTTCTGAAATGAAATTCAAAATTCATGTGATGTATATGACATATATATGTTTAAACAATGAATATAGTACCCTAACTGTAATATGAAGCAGAAAAAAAGAAAGTCACTTTTTAATAAAATAAAATGTATTTTAATAAGAAAGCTTGGGTATAAACATCCTAGAAGATAAAATTAAGTCATCAGATGCTTTCACCTGTGTTTTGAGTCACAAGTGACAGATGCAGATCAATGTGTGTTGTATTGGCAACATCACACACAGTGTTGTCATTGGGTATGATTTTCTGAGATGGTGGGCAACTCTTGGTCAAGTTTTGAACCAAAATCTTACAGTTGTGCCTTGATTTGCACAGTAAATGCATTCCTGGAATAGCTGGTGTGTATTAAAACCACACAGCAATTACTTTGCACTGTATGTTAAAAGGCCATTTCTAAAATCTCACTAAGTAAAGAGACTGATTACATATGAGAATTTTTTTGGAGTTGAATGTGGAAATGCATGCCCCAATATGGAAAAAGGTCACCTGTATTCAGTTTATTTACTCTGTACCCTGTCTGGCCACTTGCTATTTCTCAAGTCTCTGATTTGCACTATAACTAAAATAGGGAATGGTAAGTAGTCTAGAATCACTTTTGGAAAGAATCCACAAAACCAAAGGAGTCTGACCTGTACTCATTTCACTGGGGTATGCACCTTAACCTTAATGACTTTGAAAAATGAAAAGCTCTTGCTTCATAGTCTGGGTAAATAATAGCTACTGCATGATTGGTTTACTATCAAATAATAAAATTGAGAAAAAGAGTGCTGCTGTATCTGTAGGTTCTTTGTAATAAAATGCTCTCCTTCCAGATTCCCAAGTTCAGCAGCATCTCCATTCTGTGAAATCTGAAGCAGGGCCAGGAATTCCCTCAGTAGATACCGACTGCGCCCCTGTCTGGGTTGACCCCGTGAGCGCTACAGTTCCATGGTGCAACTTAACTGCTAGATTTAGTTTGTTATTCACAGTGCATTGTCATCACGTTCAAGGTGCCCTCTCTGAGCAGTATCGTACCATTTTCATGGAGCTTTCACTAAACTATTTCAGTTGCTCTCCTAAACAAATCCGGATGTCTCCAGGGTTATAGGTAAGGAAACTGTTCATCCAATACACCATGCAATCTTCTCCCAAGGCCTTTTATTTCAGAATAATATTCTATCCTTTTTTGTGGTCCTCTCTGGCCCATAGCACCAGTTCTTTTATTTATTGGTTGCTTGGTTCATTCATTCATTTATTCAGTCACTCAGGAATATTCATCTGGTGAGGGCCCTCCTGTGTGTCAGATACAGCATATATTCTAGGGATATAGTTGTGGACAGGGTTCCAGCTCATTCAGAGCATAATGTCATGTGCACCTGCGTTCCCAGGTGATTTCCATGTCATAGAAAGCAGATATGATAGAAGAAAAATGGAGTCATACAGCAAATTTAAAACAGAAAATGTCACAAATCAACTGAAGAATTTAAATACATTAATTTGGAAGAGGAGGCAAATACCTATAATATAAGAAAGTTATACCAGGTAATAATAGAAGTGTGATGAGCTGCACAAAGGGTGTAACTCATTGTGACCCAGTCATGTCATCTGCAGGTGAACTACTCAGTCTTTTAACAAACATCTACCGAACCTATGATCCTAGGGTCCTTAATAATAAAATGAGCATGGGGAGGAGAACTCATAAGATCAGTTCCAGGGCTTCTCATTATTGCAGCTGTACTTCAAGGCTATATTCCTAAGTAACAGGACAATTTGCAGGCCATTCTAATTCATTTTGCATCCCACAAATCCTTCATGAGGCAAATCACTGCCAATAGCATTCTATAATGTTTGGGTTGAGTGAAAGATTTCTTAGCAGTATGATTTTGAATAGCATTGTATCTATAATTAAAGGTAAAGTGAAGTGGAGCTTTTAAGAAACTTGTATTAAAACTACATTAAGTCATTGAAATTTGAGCTAAGGAACTGCACGGGCAACATTCAGTACATGCCATTTTAATACCAGTGTAATGAAGTTTGTTGGCTGTTGTACAGCGAGTCAACAAGAGCCTTGAGGCAGGAACTAATGTTTTTAAATGTAAAGATGGGACAATTTCACACTTTGAAAAACTACCTCGTGGGTGTCAGCATGAATATCATACTTTCCATAGTGTCACTGGCAATTAGATACCAAAATTGGGCAGCTGACTCTATTTCCCATTGGGTGAGAAACAAAAGAATATGATACATGGTTATGTTATAGCTTTATTTCAATATAGTTTAAGGCACACTTTTAGAGCTGCAACCAAAATCATGTATTGCAATGTGATGTGAAATGTGTTTTAGAAAAGGTTTTTAGTCATTGGACAATTATCTTGAGTGCCATTGATGGATGGGACTCTTTTGCATTGATTTCTGGTGCTGGGATGCTGGGGAGGGGAAGCTATATTTTTCTCTTCTGTCTTCTTAGACCAGAGAACTCATATCAGAGCCATGCTGTCAGCATAACATATTTAGGATTGGCCCAGCTCTGTGGCTCACGATATGAAGTGAGAATGGAAAAAACTATTTGTTTTTTCATCGTTCATTCTTTTAAGAAGCATTTGGATACTCGTTAAATGATGTTCCAGGCACCGCATGAGGCCCTGGGGATATGATAGTGAGCAAGACTTTCAGCTGTGGAGAGAATGTGCTCAGCACCCCTGGACGGTGTATGCCTATGGGATGGGTCTGTGGTCTCTCTGAAAGGCAGGCAATGACGTATTGGCCTCTTGTTTGGGAGATGATCTTAGGTCAATTACGTGGAGAGTGAGTCGAACTGGTCTTCCATAGCACTGTCTCCTGGAGGCCTGGACCTAGCGCCGAGTGATAACTCATTCAGGGAGGTTTCCCAGCTTAATGTAATGTATGATCAGGATGAGAGAGAATACAGATGCAGCTTAAATAATGAGCTAGACATGGCAAGGAGGGCATAAAGGACTTTGTTCTTACCCTTGAAAAAGAGGCATTAATTACAACGAGGGTAGACACATTGTCAAGGCTAGAGAATCTACATTCCGCAGAAGTAATTTTAGGCGCCCTCCCAGGAAGGCTTCCCTGCTCACACTTTCTTAGCAAACTTTTGACTTTTTGAGCTATACTCAGATTTAAGATTTTGAAAGATGTTAGAATACAAATGTATATGACTTAGAGCAGTAACCCCACAGTATGAATTAGGTTTTAAATTCTTTTCTGAAAGTCATATGGCTAAAGGGAGAGATGAGGAACTCCTAGGACCCTTAGAATGTGATTCAGGTCGGCAGGGCATGACATAGAAAGGCTTTTTCACCTATTTTACTGTTTTGTTTGGCATGAATGCAGTCTTACTGGCCAGTGAAAATTATGTCTTCCCAAAAGGTAGCTTCATCTTGGAAATGGTTGCTGTGGACTAGCTATTTGTCCTATGCTGAACCCAATGGGATGGTATTTGGAGATGGGACTTTGGGCAAGTGACTATGTCATGAGGGTGGAACCCCTCATGAATGAGATTAGTGTCCTTATAAAGGAGACCCTCATGTTTTCCGCCTTTTCTGCCATTTAAGGAGACAGCAGAAGACCGT